CCCCAAAACCCCAAAACCCCAAAACCCCAAAACCCCATGATAATTCATGCCTCAATCTCGGTTAATAATATTTCATCAAACAAGTATGGATCTTCCAAAATGTGAAATCCGGAATGACTGAGGAGACATTACCTATCTAATTAAGAGTTCTCCTGACAGCATACTGGATGAAGACATCTTCGTGTGCAAGAAATGCGCCATGAGCCTTTATGTTCAGGAAAAATCCATCGAAATAGCTGATGCTGAAACAATATTGGATTGCCTAAACTTTTCAGAGCATAATATAGCAAAGATTGATAACTTCAAAGAGTCTTATAACTTTGAAGAGTTATGGAAGAAGATGCTGCCAGATCTGGAAGCATTTACTATCAAGAGTATTGAGCTCAAAGATGAACTAGAAACAGCAGATATTATAAATGACTGGAAAAAGATGGTAGATATCCAAATTCAAGCAAGATTGTTGCTCGAATCAATTCTCAATTCAAAGCTTTACAAGGAGTATATCAGACAAACAAATTACATGAATTTTCGTGACCAAGAAGCTAAAAAGAAGCCAAAATAAGAGTCTACATAAAAACACTGAAAAATCTAAGAGTACCACCAAAATATCCGAACACATCAAAGTTAGAGAACAATTACAGGAAGAAAATAAGCTATTTCAGCAAAGTGATTTACAGACTATGCATAAGGATCATATCTTTAGCCAAAACCCAACAACAATTGTTGAGAAAGATAGTCAACCAGCATCTTTTCATCAAGAGATTGAGCATGAGAAGAAAGATATTGGTCAGCAGCAAGATATTATCCAACAAGTACCCGGAATCAGCTCTCTGGAAAATGATAAAGCTCGACTAAATAATACTAATAAAACACTGAATAATGACAAGAGCCATCTTGAAAAGAAGTATACTAAGAAAAGTCAAGATATCAAAGAGCTTCAGCAGGAATTGGACAGCCTGAATAAGAAAGGCAAGAAGAAGCATCATAACATCACAAAATTACAGGAACAGACTACTCCTCTTGAAGAGAGAAAGGAAGATGAGCTACAAGGAATATTGATGAAAACACATCCGAAGGATTCTGAAAATAACACAGGAGAGGAAAAGATTTCAGAAAGTGAAAAAGCGGGACTCAAAAATAAAGTTAGTGAAGACACTCAGACTTTAGACGAAACAAATTCAAAATCTTGCATAAAAGAGGAAATTGACCCTCTGGAAGAAACGATATCGATGAAGGATACTGATTTGGAAGGCTCTAAAGGAGAGATTCTAAATAATGTTGATTCCTCTGCCACTGAGAAGCCATCAATAAAAACATTCTGAACCCAACCAAAGAAAAAGAAAAAGGGTAAAAAGAAAAAACAGAAGGCAAACAAAAATAGTGGAATTATTCCAAACAAAGCTGAAGAAAAGGCCAAGCCTGAGTCAATAATAAAATATTACCTCAGACTGTACCCATTCAGCAAAACTCTTCAAAAACTGAATCAAATTTTAAAGATCTACAGACAAATTCTCGATTAGAGCTCGTCACTGCCATAAAGAAGAGAGTTACAGATATTCTTAACAATGAAAACACTCCAGAATTTTCTGGCACGGTTGTAAGAGGTCTTTGCAAGTTACTTAAAGAATTGAGATGCACAAATCAAAGAAGAGTGTTTATTAAGACGATTATAACATGAGCAATTAAAGAGAAAAAGAAAGATAAAGAAATAATGTATGCATGTTTGTTAAGAAAACTAAGTGAGGAGGATAACAACGGAACACAAGAGCCCAAGCCGAACTCTGTTCTTAAATCTTTGCCGCATAAGATTAATTTCACTGAAGAGCTCCTTGAAGAAATCAGATTACTCTTTATTGACATTCTCAAACAGTCAACTTCAGACGAGGAAACAACCAACAAGCAGAAGGAGGATATTGGAAAGGATTCAGAAAATGTCTATCTTCGTAGTTCGCTTCTAAAATATCTTAAGTTAGAAAGTGAGCTCTTCAAATTGAACGTATTTCTACCTAATCTGCAAGTAGAAATACTCCAAACTTTGATAGGAAATTACACTATTGAGCTCGATTTTACAGAGAATGAATTTACTATTGAAGCTGCTTGTCTCTTCTTGAGAGATGTAGGGCCAAAACTAGATCAAACATTCGCAGCCTCAGCAAAAGATGGAGATAAAGAATTCTTACCGTTAGATTGCAGATGGGGCTACAATGAAGCTTTGGACATTCTTTATAGTTATCAAGTTCGTCAAGACTTAAGTCCTTCACTGAGAAACTATATCATGATGATACTTGATATGAGAGCCACTGGTTGGGGAACTGGGTTACCTCCTCAAGCTTCTTCTCAAGATCATCTTGATCGCAAAAAGGCGAAAAATCTACCTTCAGAGTTTAAATGTGATCATCCTTATGCCTTGAGGATGCTATTGATGACAGTGTTTATGAGCTGGCACGAAAGCTGCATCTGTAACAAGGATTTCCTAGGCACATTCAAGAATAGCCCCTACGGAGCAACAATTCTGACGATATACCTCGAATCGGTGTATTACTTGAGAAAAGAAGCTTATGATTGCTTCGTCACTTTCTTCTATATTCTCTACGAGCAACATATAATTTCGGATGAGGATATATAGAAAGCGGGTTGGTCAGTTTCTTTAAAAGACTTCCTCGCTTTGAAGCAGGATTACCTCATCTTAGTGATCCGCTAAGCGATTTGTTATATTTTATATTCATTTCACGTGGAATTGGAGATTTTGGAACAGTTTTGACAAAAACTGAATTTGACAAGATCATAATCTCCAAAGAAGAAAACAAAGGCATTGATATCTTCTTCGAAATATTCGCTTCCCTCCTATTCAAAATCCACCAATTCCTTGGCTTAGACATAATGAAAACCTTCTACTCAAAATCCAACCTCGAAACCGCATGCAAACTCCTCCACCCCCACATCCACTACACCCACCTCTTCTCCGACTTATCCAACCAATCCATCCCCTCCACCATCATCGAGCTCCTCGATCTCCCTTCTTCCTAAACCAAAAAATCATTCAAGCTAAAACTCGCCTAAAGGGGTTTTGGGGTTTTGGGGTTTTGGGGTTTTGGGG